GGCTGCCGCCCGCAGCGCCCGGAGCCGCCGCCGCCGCCGGTCTCCGCCGCGCCCGCCGCTGCTCCTGCTCCTCGCTGCTCGACGAGGAGTGCGTCTACTTCTGCCACCTCGACATCATCTGGATCAACACCCCCGAGTGAGTGCGGGCGCCCGGCCTGGGACGGGCAGCGGGAGGGAGCGACGGAGGGAGGTGGCTGGTAAACGGCAACGCAGGAAATACGAGAGGAAGGAGATTTCTCTTTTCTTTCCTTTTTTCTTTTTCCCCCTTTTTTCTCCTTTTTTTTTTTTTTTTTTTTTTCAAATTTTGTGCTCCTCCTGCTGAGTTGAACAGGCTGTTCGCCGGGAGAAAGCGGGCAGGATTTGAGCAATAGGTAGCTCTTACTAGACCTAACGCACCTGCATTCCCAAGTGCAGGCAAGAGTCTCTCCTTTGGGTGCCGCTCTGCAAAGGCTCTTTGCAGATGCTTTGGAGTATGCTTTTTGCTTGGAAGCAGAGGTGAACTAAATGCCAAGGGCAGAGTTTTGCCAGCCTGACTTTGCGTAACCATTTTTTCCCAAGAAATCTGGAAGCCGAAGGGCTTCCTTTGCTTCCTTTGCCACCCCTTGCTGCTGTCTCCTGCAGATGAGCACAGTGTCACTGTCCTTTTCTGCAGTCTCTGCACCAAAAGTGCATCTGGCTAAAGCCCTGACTGACACTGCAAGCGCTGCCTTTGGTGATCTGCTCCATCACTGGATTTCCTCCAAGAGGAGGCGATCTGTTCTTCACTTTTATCACTTCCTTCAGTTGCCAAAGTTCGAAGAGAGGAGGTTTTATTGCATTCTATTGCACATGGAGGCAGAGCAGGCTTATGAAATCACAATTAAAAGGCCATTAGCTTTGTCGGTAGCCATACTAATTAGTATGTAGCAGGAGCATCAGAAGCATTTACATGGCAATTATGCCCCACAAAGCATTCCTGATCCCACAACCTTTACTCATGCAATCAACCCCATTGATAAGGTATCCCAAAATACCCCACTGCTCTGAAGCCACAGTCATTTGCATTGTGCTCATGTTGACTCTTTGACCATAGGAAGACTGTGCCTTATGGACTTGGAGGCCCTTCTCGATCCAGAAGATCACTGAAGGACGTGGCGCCTGAGATGCTCACTGAACCTGACAGCAGATGTCAATGTGCCAACCAGAAAGACAAGAAATGTCTGAAGTTCTGCCAGACAAGAACAGAACTCTGGTGCGTTCATTACTACTGCTCTTTAAAAGGCAGCATGAGTGGAAGGGCTGGATCGTGGTATCCTCGCTCATTTTGGCTGGGTGCATATTCTCCTAAAGACTTGCCTTCCACCTGGGTGTGTACACCAGTATGACACATACCACGTTTGGCCCAGAAGGATTGCTTATTACATGCCTTGCAAAACTGTGGGTTAGAAGTGGTTCCTTGTGGGCTACAGACTCTTTTTGTTAACGGCAGTGCTTTTTTCACTTCAATAGGGCTCAGTCTACCATGGAGAAAAGCTCGCACCACCGCAACAAAGGTGGCAACTGCCTTGGACCCAAATGTATGAGCCAACAGTTTGTTGGCAGCAAGAAAATGAAGAGGTGAGTTTCTTCTCATCTTTCTGTAGTTCCCCAAAATAGCAATAGAGAGAACAGTTCTCTTGTTAGCTCAGCATGAACTAACAGTTGATCCAGTTGATTTCAACTCAAGTGTTTCAGAGGACTCGCTGAGGATTTTAAGTTGATTTTTTTTTAATGTAATGAATACATTGTTTGCAAAGGCAAGGGTATTGAGCTCTGCCTAGCCTCATCCGTTTGCTTAGAGGAAACAGACCTAGTCTTAGGCATAAGGGAATACCAGGCTTAAGCATGTGAAATCATTGAATCCCTAGGAGAAGTAAAAAGAGCCTGACATTTTAGTGTGTTCATGTATTATCTTAATTACTTAATATGTCCAATTTATTCTTCTCTAACAAAAAATTGAGCCAGAATGCCTTTTCTTAGGTACTTGATAGCATATTTTTTCTGGAAAGAAAAGTTACAGACCTATCCAAATTTTTAAAAATGTGATTTCTTCTGGCTAGTATAGAATTTAAGAATGCAGCAAGACAGATTTTTTAGCTGCCTAATCCCCTACATTGACAGACAATTTATTGTCAAAGGTGTGTAAGTGAGCACAGGATGCTAGCAATGGAAGTAACTGCAAAAAGGTTGAGGAAGGTGAAAGCGAAGATTAAATTCCTATTTGAGGTTAATCTAATAATTGAGACTAAAAGTAGATTAGTATCACAGCTACCCCTGGAGGTGTATGTGTAGTATGTTGAGTGGCTGTAAGCAACAATATCACTTTTCAGGACTGTTTAGAGGTGTATGTGTTGGACTGAGTGCATCTAACAACCCCCAGCCTGTGATGAACTGTGCTTTGAAGCTAGGTATTAGCTCCAGTTTCAGCTGTATGCCCATTACAAAAATTTGCACATACAAAGGCAGGCTCTTAAGTCCTACTTTCAAAAGCAAAACTGGCTCTTTAGGACCAGGCAACCTAGTAATTTCCAGTGAGATTTAGGCCCTGGAGGTCTTGCATATTTTTTTTTTTTTTGAAAATGGGGCTTTTTTTTTGAAAAATGCACCCATTTCTTAGGCTCACAATGGATTTTACCTAAAACTAATGAAATAGCCAATGAGAGTATGAACACAGAAGACCTCTTGTTTGAATACATACCATTTAAGGGAAGTCAGGGGATCTGTATTTGAATATTTTAACTGATTTTAATGTTTGCCTTTAAATTTTGGATTCAATATTCTGAATAGCTTAAGTTAGCATAACTGATAGATGTATAGTAATCAGCAGTTTGAGTCTCCTCTGGCAGAAGCCTAGGCTGAGATTTATTTAATCAAAGGACTGAACATCTGAATGCTTGAGTTGCATCTTCATTATTGTAACAGTAAGGGTATATTTCTTATTTCTGCAGGCTGGAGGCCATTGGTAACAGTATCAAAGCTTCCTTCAGTCTTGCAAAGCTGAAGGCTGAGCTCCAGAAAGGGCGGAAGCTGAAGCATAACAGGGCAAATAAAAGACGAAGCATCTGGGAAAGCCTGAAAACATCCTAGTGAGAAGATCCCCCGAATCATTCATCGTCACGCTTTCTCATGAAGTGTCACCAAAACTCTACTTTGACTTTTAATGTTCTACGACAGCAAAGCACCTCTCTGCCCAAGTGGTTGCGCAGAAAAAAAAAAAAAAAAGTGAGAGAAGTCCCGTATTCAGAGGTGGAAAAGCAGTACAACTCAAGGATTTTGTCCATGTGGAATCCAGACGGATGGGTAGAGAAGGTGAAGGGAAAAGCTCAGTAGCATATGTTTCAAGCCCTCTTTCCGAAGAAACATTTGAATATTGCTTCTGGAATGTTACGGCTCAATGCAGCAGCTTTCAGGGTTGACTTCAAAAGCATTTTGCAAGGAAGACTTTACAGATATGCTTAGAAAGGACAGAAAGTGAGATTTGAAGAGACAAACTTCCAAACAAAGACCTTTTTTTTTGATTAAAAAAAAGCCACTGTGCTACTTTAATCAGGACTTACTGCATATATACATGTCTACCTCGCGTACTGTTTGTTGCACTCCTGCTAGAGTATTTTTACACCTTGTTATTGCCTTTACTAATCAGCTGCAACCCTTTGCCTTTTTTTTTTTTTTTTCGGAAGTCTAGTTTACTCTTACAACCAGAGTTATCTGTATGTGGGTTAGGCACTGGGCTTGTTTGGAGAGTTAAAGTTTTGGATACCAAAGGACTATTCAACACAGAATAAAAGTTAGAGAACACCACTAGATTTCCCATAACAGAGATTTGACTAACTAACTGAAGTTCCAATAATAGAGGTTGTTATGTCTTATTTGCCACCAGAAATGCACCAAAGTAGAGTTGCACCAGACACTGTTGTAGGATGCATTCAGTGCCTTGTTTGGTGTAAATTTACAGAGACAAAGGGTTGTTTTAATTTATGGCAAAAGGCTAATATTGGGTGAAAGTTTATAGCAGTGAATTTGTTCACACTGTTGAATTTGCTGACGGGTTTGATTGAATTCAGTGTGCTTAATTTGTATGTGTTTTGTATTTATATTCACACAAATCTTCCATTATATTTGCCATGTTGAATACGCACTGAAGTAGGCCATATTGGTCTATGCATGTTTTATGTATTTCTGTATGAAATTGGGAAATGCTTTATGCCTATCAAGGTAAATATCTCCAGAAATAAATATTTTTAATTACTGTAACTGGCTTTTTGTATACGTATATATATATATATATATGCACTGTTTTGCTGTAGGCTGTGGTTCTACGCTGCTGTGGGCAGATTGCCCCATGTACAAAGCTGACCTAGATGAGGTGTGCATGTGACGGCTGCTGTGTCGAGTTAGCAGGATCTCAACATTACGAAGCCTGTGCCAGGTCTGTGCTAGATGTGAGAGAGCAGACACTACCTGTCCTGGCATAAAGCTCACTCGTCAAAACCTCCTGAAGAAATTTGAACTGGTTAAATGAATGCTAAAAAAGTTTGAAGCTGTTTTCTGTTTCTACTGAGGTATTTGCAGTGTTTTTCCTGCCTGCACACTGGGAGGCTGAAGTAGATGTTGCGCTTCCTTCCCACTGCTTCTTTATCTCCTGGGGGTGGCAGTTCAGTCAAGAGATGGCAGTGTTGGCAGCGGAAAGGGGACCCAGCGCTCAGCAGCGCAGGGGAATTGGGATCCCCGAGTCTTCTCAGGGCAGGATCAGGCCCCAGCTGGCGGTGTCCTTTCCTCCCTGCGCCGTGAATACGACACTGCCACTTGCTGCTTTGGGCAGATGTGGGTTGGTGACCCCTGTCAGCTGTGAGGAGACCTCATTAAAGCTCCCTGTTTCTTTGTTTCTTCCTCCCTCAGCGACTGCCTTTACTGGGAGGATAAACAAACAAACGGGGCGAGCTGAAGCGACGGGGAGCACGTGGCGTGCCCAGGGTGCCGCTGCCGGGGAAGGGGCCGCGCAGTCCCCCGGGCCGCTCAGATTTTGCTCTGCCTGGGAAGCGGGAAGGAGAGGAGGGAGTCTGGGGCCAGAGGAGCCCTGCAACAGCCGCTATGTCCTGGTTAAGGCTGATTTGCATGGGTGGCTGGGATGAACGGTGTTACAGCAGGCTTCAAAGCTTTCTGTCCTCCTCAAACCTTGAGGAAGCATTAGTAGACCAGATCTGGGGTTTTCTGATCAAATAATTCCCCAAACAACCTCATAAAAGTAAATCTATTCCTTCCAGGGTTTTCTGTATTCACAGAAGGACCCTAAAGTAGCCTCCCTTCCCTTCCCTTGCCTTGCCTTCCCTTTTCCTTCCCTTCTCTTTTCCTTCTTTCTTTCCCTCCTTCCCTTCCATGACTTGTTCAGGATGCCTTTTTGTGTAAGAAGTAGTATCCACTGGCGTTTCAGGGAGCCAAAGTTTCCAAAGCCCTACAAAATTAGCAAAATTTGCAAAATTAATCATGGACAGGGCATTTCACCACTGGGCTGAGCTGGCCTCCAGGGCCATGCTCAGCACTAAGGGGACTCCATCACCTTGTGAGCAGCAGGAGCAGTAAGGCTGTTTTGTTCATACTCTTTGGAGTATGAACATAAACTGCAACTTGCCCAGTTTGCATTAATGAACTGGGCCAAAAATCAGAATTTATAAAGTCAGTTTCAGTGAATAAGGAAAAGGGAACATAAAATATTTTATCTTGTAGCTGGCTCATGTACAAGTACCAGGTCTAACCTGAAGGTTTGCTCCTTCTCAATGGGTGCTCCATGGCGGAAAGAGATTCAGTAACTTGGGCCAGAGCTCTCAGTGAAAAAAAGGGCAGGATGTTACATGCTAGGATTTATGGCACTGGATATAGAGTAGTATAAAAGTACATTCTTTCTTATAATAAATGACCTGAGCAAAAAAAAAAAAAAAAAAAATAGCCACCTGAAGCCAATGGAAACATTGCACTGACAGTGGAGGGAAAGGCTACAAAGCCAAGGCTCTCATTCATTTGACCAGAACTAATCTCAGTTTTTCTCTTAAAAAGTAAACCTTGCTGGGTTATCAGCAGGTTTTTCTAATCCGGGACGAACAGAGCAGGATGAAGGGGAGAGGAGGGCCACCACTTTCCACAGTGGGTATGGTCTAATATTCCCCAAGCACACCTGGCGCATGGCTGAAGTTCTATTTCTCATGAAGAGTAAGGAGTTACTCAGTCACCAAGCTCCATCTTCCTTCTCTGATTTTTCATGGGTTCAGCAAGATTGTTTCTGAAACTGCAAACAGTTTTGTGGGGAAAGAGAACTACTTCTCTCCTTCCTGAATTAAACTTGCTGTATTTATTTTTATTCTCTGCAATTTGTAATTCTTTCTTGCACAGGCATTTCTTTTTCTAAAGAAAAAAAGATTGTTTTGACTATGTACCAAAACAAGATATACAATGAAACAAAGCTTCAAAATGTGAGTCAGGTTTCAAGTCAGGAAAATAATACAATGCTGCTGAAATTCTTTCCATCTTATCTGCATAATTCTGACCTATTTTTTCCAGAAATGGCAACTCTAATCTGTACCATGTTATCATGAACTGCCCCAAAATAATTCACACAGGATGTCCTAAGGTTGCCTATAGAAATTACTCAGTCAAATACCAGTCTCTTTGTTCATGTTTCCTTACATTAGGATAAATTTAGCTGCTACAACACATTCCTGTATTTACAAACACCAAATGAGCTGGATAAACCGCTGCTTGAGTGCTATCTGATGTTTACTTTCTTCACACTCCACCTTTTGCCTCTGTGTATATAAAACCATATCAATTTCGCCCTCAGCTGCATCACGGCACTATTATTAGATTTCCTGTGTAGAAACCCAGCTTCCATGCTCATCCGATATCTATCTTTAATTTACTGTTCTTCCTTCATGATCTAAGAAGCAAGAGGATAAAATTTTTGATTAATTAGATGAATGCTTGGAAACTGTGATGATTAGTTTAAATATGTGAAGAGACAGAATGGCACAGATAAAGTACAAAGATACTGGCAGTATCATTTTTCCTGAGATAAACATTGTGCGAACAACATTTCAGAAACTTAGCCAGAACCGGCGTTCACAGTTTTCTTTGTTTTATGTCTCTGATAAATCAGAATGAGGTGAAAAATGATAGCAGAGTCTATTTTTCTCTTTCTCAATATGGTTAAACAATCAGCTGCTACATGTCTCAGCAATTCGTCTGGGACAAGTTCCTCTCCTCTGATCAGGTCAAGGAGACCTGAATCCTGTCTGAAGTCCACCGGGTCAGTCCGTCAGCCAACATTTCTCTCAGTGTTAGTGGCATCATTTATTCCAATGAAAACACAAGCAGAATGAAACCCAGATAGTCTTTGTTCTTTCTGATAACATAGTGATGGGGTCAAATTGGCACCAGTTTGCTGATGCTAGCACAGGACTCCAGCATCTCTTGCCACTGCTGCTGTTCCAGGTTTTTTTGCCGGCAAGCATTTGCTAGTAACATATTTGATAAATATCACTTAGGTAAGCAATGGGACAATTTGCCTTTGGCTCCTGAAAGCTGTATTCAGAAAGGGACAAGCCCCATGGAATTTGCGGTTTCATCAACCTCTCCAACTATTTTGGGGTGTGTGGAACCAATCTGAGTTCACCAACTGGAATTCATGCTCAAATTGTTGTTGCTCTGCTTTCCACCCCCCCAAGGAAATAAAAAATATCCCTAAAACTAACTTTTCTACTAAAGGAAAAATGTATGTTATGTGCCAGTCATTAGAAACAAATGCAACCTTTAATCTGGCAAGAGGAAAACTGCACTGTATTTTGGTTGCATATACTGGATTTATGCTGCACCTCCTTTCATGAACATACTTAAGCCAAGCGCTTTGGTAAGTGTCCTTCATGTCAAATTAGCCAATGTCCTAAGGACTTTGTGTGCTGTTAGAGAAAGCCACATGAATGGGATGTTTTGATGAACTAGGGATTCTCCTGGTGTCATCTTCCTCTTCTTCATTTCACTCCTGTTGTTTCAAGAATTTTACTTTTCTCTCTTATTTTCATCCTCATTTCTATCAAAGATGTTAAGCAATGAAATTCAGAGCAAATAAACAGAGAAGTGAATTAGCCAGAAAA